TGGATAAAAGATCACCTCCCTGGAACCCTCATCCTCGAACCGTCACCCTCACCTCAGACCGTCACCCTCACCCTCAGACCGTCACCTCACCTCCAGACATCACCTCCTCAACCATCACCCCTCACCCTCAGACCGTCCCTCACACCCTCACCCTGTCACCCTACCTCGAACCATCACCTCAGACCGTCACCTCACCTCGAATCGTCACCCTCCGAACCGTCACCCTCACCCTCGAACCGTCACCCTCACCCTCGAACGAGAAGGGGGTAACCACTGCACAAAAATAAATAAAGGAAGGTAAATTATTAGGACGTGTTGTAATTATAATATAAATTCATTGTGAGTTGTGCAGTATTGAGGCTGCCAGTTATGACAGCCATCACCATCAGTCACTTGCTAACTGGTGGTGGGAGGTGGGGAGAGGGGTTGGGAGGAGGGAGGAAGTTTAAAGGAGGGAGAATATGATAGGGGGTGGGAGGTTTAGAGGCAATAAAGACGGTGGTGGTGAGGTGGGGATAGAGAAGAAGAGAGAGAGAGAGAGAGAGAGAAAGAGACTTGCTGGACATACATACATACATCCATACATACATACATACATACATACATACATGCATACATAAGGTTTGGGTTTGGAGGAGTGGTATAAGCAGCATTCCAGAGCCTCAGTGACTGACATAGGTAGTCCTCGAGGCTGAAGGATGAGCGCTCTGAGGAGGACCCTTCACCATCAAGGAGGAAGAAAGGATAGGGAGGGTGAGGAAGAATAAAGGAAAAGAGGGAGTTAGGAAGAGGGTGAGGAAGAGGGAGAGATGATAAGAGGAAAAATGAGGGGAGGAAGCCGTGTGTGTGTGGCCAATACTGTGTGTGTGTGTGTGTGTGTGTGTGTGTGTGTGTGTGTGTGTCTGTGTGTCTGTGTGTGACTGGAAAGATGGAAAAATGAAAGGAAAAAGAAGGGGAGCAGGAAGAAAAAGAGGGGAAAAGAAGAAGGGAGAAAAATAGGAGGAAAGAAGAAGGAGGAGGAAGAAGGATGAACGAGGAAGAGCTAATATAGAAAGGAAGACGTAGGAAGAGGACGAAGAGGATAAAGAAAAAAGTGAGGATAAGAAAAAGAAGAAGAGAAAAATAAGGAGGGGAGAGGAGAAAAGAGAGGAGGGGGAGGAAGAGAGGAAGAGGAGAGGAAAAAGGGAAGGAAGAGGAGGAAGTAAGGTTGCGTGTGAGGTGGGGAGTTCAGGATTCTCACCCACACTTCTCTTTAATGGTGCTGTTTTGTCCTCCATACAACTGTGAGGTCTTCCTCCCTGGCCCTGTGTTGACGAGCTCTTCCCTCTACCTTCACCCCCCACCTGGTCTCTCTCTCTCTCTCTCTCTCTCTCTCTCTCTCTCTCTCTCTCTCTCTCTCTGAATGAACCACCAATTTGGACTGAGAAAAAAATAACAATAATATTCCCACGCAATTATGACCACACAAAACAAGGCCCCAGTCCCCACCCCCCCTCCCGACTCCCCACTCCCATGTTCTCTCCCCCCTTATTTTTTCCCCTCTCCTCCCCCTCTACACTTCCCTGCATCTCATACCTCCTCCCCTCCATCCAAAGTCTTCTCCCCATCTACCTACCCTCTCCTCCTCCCCATCTCCCACATTATCAACAGTTTTATTTCTTCTCTCAAGTAGTTTTCTTTCCTTCTTCTTCTTACCCCCTTCTCTCTCCCCCTCACTTCTTCTGACCCTTACAATGCAACTCCCATCACCACTATCCTCTTCTTCTCTTCCCTACCCCTCCCCAACATTATGACTCATTTCCCCTAACCTTCCTCTTCCCTACCAACTCTTCTCTTCCTTTCTCACCCCTCTTCCCCTCCCACCCCCACATCATCCCCATCACACACCAGAACAGCCCCCCCCACAACACCCCCTCCCCCTCTACCCCACAACGGCCAGTTCATCATAATCCGAGTAAATCCTCAACACACGCTCCTGTCCCTTCCTATTTACAATCACCCTATTCCTAATCTCTTCCTATTTCCAATCACCCTATTCCTAATCTCTTCCTATTTACAATCACCCTATTCCTAATCTCTTCCTATTTACAATCACCCTATTCCTAATCTCTTCCTATTTCCAATCACCCTATTCCTAATCTCTTCCTATTTACAATCTATTCCCAGACACCTATTTCCGGGGTCTTATTTCTTATCTATTTTCTTATCTATTCCGATTTTTCTATCTATTTTTCCAATCTTTTTATTCCTAATCGTCTAAATTTGAATCTTTCTCTCGTTATTATTATTCTAATCTACGGGAGAATAATAATAATAATAATAATAATAATAATAATAATAATAATAACAATTCATACACATTAATATCAAATAAAACTGAAAACTACAAAAATTTATCTCCAAAGTTTATCGCCCGCGGGAAAGTTTAGATAGATCAACTCCCATTTCTTATTGAGGAAATTACATTTTGATTCAGCGACGCGACACTAATGAAGACGGA